AGAGTTGCAAAACAAGAGTCAAACCCAAAGAACATTGCAATGCAGCATCTATTCTGTTGGGTGAATCTCTTTGGATTGAAACAGGCATCATAGCAAGCTAGTAAGGTGATATGATAGGAAAGGTCCCAAGAAAGGAGGTCCAAGATTTGAAAACAATGAGCCATGGAAAAAGTGCCTCATCAATGAGAAAGACAAAACAATATCACAGAATTGTCAGAGTGAAGCCTGACAATTTTCCTCTGAATAAGCTCAGATCATGAGGCATTGCTTTTTGAAGAGCAAGAAGGACTAAAACATTGTGTAGGGAAGCCTTGTCGTCCAAGTCTAGACCCTGGAATTCTTGACTGTTGGTATATGTACCCCATCCCTGAAGTAAGGCATTAGTGAAGAGATAGGACTCTTAACGAGGTGGTGGTAGAGGAACCCATGTCTTAATAGTGTCCTAACTTAACAACCTCTTGAGATCAAAGAATGATTCCAACTAAGGAAACTGGGGAATCCAATGAATCACTTTTTATGATCCCTTGGTCGCACAAAAACCATTAAAAGAATCTCTTGTGCTCTCATCTCAAAGGCATGAGGGATTTAAGTGATGCCCATATTCACAGAAGAGAAAGAACCATACGTATAGTGCGAAAAGGAGAGGTGAGGAAGCGTCAGATTTCTTATTCTACAGCATTGAGTTGGATAGGAGTCAGCTGAGATGAAAAATATTAAATACCCAGACTGTTGACATATTGAATTCGAGAAAAGATAGATGTTTCAGCCCTAAGAATGAAGCCTGCCTTGGTGGTTTCTGAAAGTAGAATCAGGATGTGGTGTTCTGACAATTGACAAGATATTGCCAGCAGTAACCAGTCATCTATGGAATGGTGTGTGCACAGAACAATGGATGGAAGTAACAAGAAAAAACTTGTAGGATATGGCAGAGCCCATGTGAAACTGAAGAGAGTCAAAAAGTAAAAACCTAGAACTGCAGTACCTTGTGCACACAAAAATGTTAATAGTGGTGGGGCATAACCACTATGACAATGTGCAAATAGAAGCTGACTACAACAAACTTGGACATTCACAATCCCAGTAAAAATTGTCAACTCAGATTGAAGAATGAGAAACTTGAGAATCTAGACATTGATATATACGAGAAAGATCAAAGACCGTACACTAATCTCCTGTCTTCTGAGGCCCAGCAACTGATGGGAATAAAACCTCTGAAGAACCTCCCAAAAACCAACCAAACTCTTATAGTCCTAGAACTAAGTTCCAAATCCTAAGGATCTATGGGAGATGGAAACACTACAGGTCAGGTAGATAATAGTAGTGAAGATGTGAACTGAATGACTAATTCTGACTCAAGTACCTGTAGTACTCCTGGATCTGTGGTTATAGTTACCTCTCATCCAGAAATTCTCAGCACCAAGCCCCCAGAGACCCTGGAGGTATACAATAATCACTGACGTTACTGGCAGCAATCCAAACAAGCAGCAGAACCCTTGGATATAGACAGAATCTATTATGGGTACCAATGTACTGAAAGGCTGATATCGGTGATCAGGATCCACGAATAGTGGCAGAACTATGGCTCCCTGTAGGAGCTGATGAAATTCAAGACTCCAACGATATCAGGGATGAATACAGAAGCTGACAATTGAACCAATGTGCATGCTAACAGTGGATCAGCTCATCATCAATGAAGTTGGTGATCCTGAGAGTTTTCCAACAAAGTGAAGTGAAAGGAAAACAAAATGTTGGATTTTAGAGTAGTAGGTCCATAGCTTAACCATGTCCCATCTGGGAAAATTGACATATTCAGGTTAACTACAATCTCTGCCTTAAAACCCCAAAATTTGAAGAGCAGATGCATTATTTGAGGGTTGGAAAATGCTTGCACCTAGCAGTGGTAGGTTAAATCATGAAGACCCAACAACTTTGTTGGATAATGCATAACTGTCCCTTCACTTAACTGATAAGTAAACCTCCCAGTATGAACCACAATATCCATGGATGGAGAGAAAACAAAAAATTTGCTCCCAGACCTTTCATCCATCAAGTAAGGTGCAGGCTCAAAAGCAACCAGGGAAAGGCAAAAAACATCACACTCTCAATGAAACAACAGAAGAAAACAAATCAAAGGCAGCTTCTAACAAAGTGACCTCCTTTTTTTGTTTATTTAAAGACTGTGTTGATTACCATTGATTGGAACAACATTTTGTCAGGTCAATTTCTTTTGTTAGAGCAAAGCAACATTGGGCCATCTGCAGTGTCCACCATAGGGAATCGAACTCTGGACCCCAGCACAATGAGTCCACAGGGAGACAGAAAAGCCAACAGACTAAAAGAAAGCACAGGAAAGAGCAAATCTACATTCTCTTCAGAATGTTGAGGACTGCCCTCAATTGCAGCCTCAGAGTCCCCCGGAGGAACACCATAGAACGAAATATATGTCTCCATCTCACTACGAATGAGATCACTGACAATCTCAACCATAAATGACCCCCACCTGATTGTTGTGAGATGCTAGATATCAGAGGTGGGATAGGAGAGACCTGATTTTCCTCCATGCCAGAAATAATAATCCAGGAATTCATACTGTAAATAAGCTTGGTAATCGGAATAAAAAAAAATTTTAATTATTATTGTTATTAAAAAAATCAACATGATAACATAGACAACATTCAAAGTATCTCCAAATGATTGTAAAACTGGGAAACCCGTCAGTGACGCTTTGTCGAGAAAAAGTGATAACTAGGATAGAGGGTACATTGACATAGGTGGAGAGTGTCACAAGATAAATATCACCAATGGCAATTAAGTGGGGTATTTTTTAAAAGACTGGAGCAAGTGAGAAAAAATCAGACCAATGCTTAGATTGGCAAAGGAAAAAAACTCTGACAGTCAAGTAATAACTATAAGTCTGAGCGGAGTTATGTTTTGGAAGAAGCCCTTTATGCGGAACCAAAGGTTGACAAAAACCAATTGTGAGATGACAGGTTGATAACCAGAAGTTAATCTCTAGTCTTCTTGAGATCCAAAAAGAGATGTAAGCAACAATCTGGAGTAGGGGTAAATACTCTCTCGATGGCATTCTTGGACAAGAGATCTGAGACCACATCCTCAAAACTCTGAAGGTAAATGGGGTGGGTGGGAAGAAGAAAATAAACTGGGAAAGGGGAGGAGGAGAAAAAGTGAAGAGATAGGCTGTGGGTGAAAACCTGAAGAACCCATCAGTTGGCCAAAAATGGTAACCAAAGGCTGGTGAAGAGAGACAGACAGTCTCCCACACTGCCAGATCCAATAGAGTAGTCACCAACAAATCTAATGTTAGGAAGTGGGAGAACGGAAAGGAGAAGGCCAGGAAGGGGAGACATGGATTCAGCAAGCCTATGAGTAGAAACAGAAGGGCAAGATTGAGAAAAGAAAGAAACTAAAGTAGACAATGAGGACTGATGCCAGACTGCCTAGGTCAAGGACTCCAGTGAGTCAGGAACACCCCTGAAGACCTTAAAGTGAAGAAACGAAGCCTGACAAAGATAATAGAGATAAGCACGAGGAAGACATATATTATCATTCAGTCCCAACAGCATAGGCACCATATAAGGAGAGACAGAGCAGAAGCAGAAGTATGGACCAATGTTGTGAAAAGAAGAGAACAAACCTCCCCAGTAAAACCCTCTGGAGAGCAATGAAGTACAACAAAAATTAGGGGAAATAACAAGAGTTAATACAGGAATGTAGTAAGAGAGACAAAGGTGTGAAAATTGGGCACTAGAAAGAGAAATATAAGTTAAGGGTCCATCCTAAGCAGGTAAAGAGATCCCAAGGACTGGGAATTGGAGAACAGAAATGTAGATTGTCTGTAAGCCAGGAAAAAAAAAAGAGTCAAGAAGACAAGGAGGAGCATAAGGTATGTTAGTACAGGTGTGCAGTTGATCAAGACACAAGTCTGCATGTACTCCAACATCAGACAAAAGAGGGAAGACAAAGTAATCTTGAGTATGGGTTTCATTTTGTAAAGCATGGGAGGAATTGAAAGATACAGGGGAAAGAGAAAGAAAGAACACACCAGTGAAATCATGTCAAGAAAGAGATTAAAAGAGTGAGGATTTTCCTCCAGAAATAAAGCTGTGCATAGCGCAAACCCTGATGGTTAGATAGACAAAAGATAGACAGTCAAAACTGTCATTCTGGTCATGTTCAAATTGTGGAGAAGAAATGACGGCTAAATGGACAGGTGTAGGAAGCCCAGTGTACATGAAGGAACTCACAACATAATGAATAATAGCTGTCTCATCTTCCACAAACCACAAGCCTCTAGTAGCCAAAGGTCTTGTGTAAGTAAAACTGTCACCGTCATAGGACAAAGTGGAAGTTAAAATCACTTGAGAATTCATAATGATGGATAATCATTAAATGTTTTTTCTTTCTAAGTAACACTAAAGAAACCATGCTGGTTATAAGAAACACAAACACTAAACCAAGTAAACCTGAACAAAACTTAACTCGGTTATAAACTATCACGAATCTCAAGTAACTGATTAACAATTCTGAAATGTGTCCTTTCTAGACAATGTCAAGGAAGTAATAAATGTAAGGGAGGTAAAGGGAAGGATTGATATATATTTGGATAGTAAAGACTGGCTTTGAGTTTTTGTTTCAATAGTTAGTGGATAGGTCTCTTGTTGTTCTTAAATGTTATAAAAAAGGGCATGTTTGTAATAAAAAGTCATTAATTTCTTCATTTGCTGAACACACTATCAAAACAGGTCATTTGATAAGTTGGCATAAAACAAAAATCTTACATCAACCTAATACTGATACTAAATTAAATATTGGTTTATAAAGCTCCTCTTGCTTGATATGTGTCACTCCTTGATGACAATAGAGAAAACTACTGAAACAAATAGTCACTTTTAATATTGACTGTCAGCCAAATAAAGTTTTATTATGCATTTTTAAACAATGTTTTTACTTTTGGAATTTAATGCAAAATATATTCTTACAAATTTGCAAGGTCATCATTTTTTGGTCCAAGCCATTTCATCTCCGTAAACAGCTCTGGTTTGTCACTTTTTCCAATGCAAGTTATCACGTAACTTTTCTCAGCAGGCCTATTGTGTGTTTTTCCTTCTGGATTTATCTCCAATGTAGCTCTATGTACTTCTTGTGCTAAACATCCTGAAAAATTAAAAAGATTTCAAGTACAATTCATCTAACTGAAGGAAAGCAGGGTAAAAGTATACTTTCATTATAAAATTCATCATTTTTTGACAAGAGATTTTTGAGAATTTTGGCAAACAACATTATGCTGTATAGTTTACAAGGTAATTTTGGTCCATGTAATAAGTAATATTTATGATTAAGTCTGAGTGATTACTTGAATTTGATAATCAATTATTAGTTGTGCTCATTAATGGTTTACATTCAACTAAGTGCTTATTGTCATGAGATGGCTACATAAGATACAGAAAACATAACACAAAGGTAGCCAATAATATCGCTTTGTGCTAAATACACATAATGGATATATCTTGATTACTCGAATACTTGGAGTAATCATAAATAGTAAAAGTTGTGAAAACAAATTTCAAATTTCCTATTAGTTGAGTATTTTCCTAACAATCAATTCAATCATAAGGAGATTATTATCTGTAGCCAGCTTGTTGTGAACTGTTTTAATATCATAATTTAATGTTTTGTGTTGTTTGTTTTTTTTTGTAAAGGAGTTTTGACATGATGAACATGTAGTGATGATGTCCAACACAAACATTTCTTTAATGTCTAGATTCGGTGTGACATGCACATGATGTCTTGAATGTTCAAGACACTTTGGGAAGGGAAAATATGTAATAATATAAAAACACCAGAGTTATTTTTAATTAAGTCAACTGATTAGTTATTCAGCTAGTTAGCGAGTCTACTGCCATGTTATTAATGAACTGCTGAGCTAGCAAGTGTGTTAGTCAGCAACTTTTCAGTTTGCATCAGAAATATGAGAGAAAATTTAACAAGTGACTGTGTAGTTGTACTTGTGAGTTAAGTGGACTGAACTTGGAATTAATTTTACTGAATAATAAAAAAGAACCCACCCAACAATAAAAACAATTGCAACATTGAAAAATTACAGTTGAGCTATTGTATAAAAGAAATCATTTCAAAATGAGAAATTTTATCTGGGAAAATATCTTCCAGATAAACTCACTTATCTAGTTGATATATATAAGGAATGATTAAAATGCTTGAAGTTGCAAGAGGATTCAACTTTTATCAAATATTTGTTGTTTTTTTGCTAAGCTGAAACAAAAAGTACAGTCTAGGTCAAAATAACACAATGTAACCTTTGGATAAAAATGGACCATTTTATCCTTCAAAACTGTCCTTGCATATTGCCATTCAATAAAGGTAAAGATTTAAACACATCATATATTTTTCACAAAATCATAAATATTTGTTGAACTCCCTGTTTAAAAATGGCCTCAACTACTTCCAACAGAACTTATTAAATAAATCAATTACCCTAGAAAATGAGTATATATCTTACTAATGGTATAATCATTTGGACTATTATTCTCATCTTTATTATATGTATTACTATCTTCACAGCGTTTTGACCAGTGAACTTTCTAGCCATCCTCTGGTGTTACATCAGACATTTGTTGTATGTATCATAATCAGAAAGCTATTTGTGGAATTACAGGATTCGAACCCCCCGACTCTGTGATACCGAATACAGGCACTCTTAACCACTTTGCTGTCAGGAGGACACTTCAAAACCTTTCTGTTCCAGGTATCATCCTAGTAGTCCTTTTCAAAGAATTGAATGTCCTTCCTAACTCTTTGATTATCATCTGGGTCCATTGGGCCCAAAATTCAGGTTTGTCAAGCTGTTATGTAAGCATTATATTCTGCAGAAGCTTCAAACTATGCAACCTTACTAACCTTAGAAATGTACTTGAATTTTACAATTCTAGAATTACTGTGATTTTAATAAAAATGAAAAGTAATTCCATACACAGTATGGGTCCAATGGACCCAAAAACTTATAGAAATAAATGTTACAAGTTTTCCATTATGTATTTGTGCTCTATATCTGTTTGCACTATTCATAACTATTATATATGTATATCATTTATCATTTATATTATTATTTGAATATATACTATTTATAAATTTATTGAAAATTTGTATGCAAAATTTATGACGTCTTACATCATCTTTCCAAAGATAAAGTACCATGCAAATGGTACTGTTTATTGCATCATCTTCTGTTACTCAACCTATAAAAAGATGAGGCCAGTCTTCTCCTTGAACATTCTAGACACAAGTACTATTGCTTACACTTATACCTTGTCATCGCTGAACATCCTCTGCAAAATTATATTTTAGTAATAAAGAAGAGGACTTGCCTTAAAATGTCATGAAGATGTATTACAAATGAGAAAATACAAGTATTTTTAGAGAAAGAGAATAATGAAAGTGCTGAAGAAAAAAAACAGATGACAGTATGTCTGATGATGATGGTAAAATAGACAATATAAGTGATATTTATCATTCTAACATGTCAGATACTGATGTAGATATTGAAATAGACAACAGTGGTCATGCAGAAGTTAAGCAATTTGTCTCTAAAAACAAATGAGGTCTAGATATCTGAGCCTCCAAGCCAAGGAGCAGCAACAGAGATAGAAATAATGAAATAAAATTACATTCACTCAAGGAAAACCCTCAAGATGATTACATTCCCTCATGTAAAGTTGCATTTCCTCACAAATTGTTTTTTTTATCTAATCCATGCATTACGTTTACTTTGATTCGTCATAACTAAAGGAATACAGATGGACCATGCATTCCCAATCAGGAAAGCCAACTAAAAACATTAAATTCCTCGGGAATGTGGCAATGTAATATTTTGGTCCCTGAAGAAGAGTACAACTCTAACATTTTGCAACAAGTCCATCTCGCTATACCAACAGAGAGTGTGACTCCTTTGTTACTTATTTATGCTCTTCATCCAACCACACCTATTCAAGGTTATTCACAAATGGACAATTGCTAAAGGCCAAGGTGTGTACCAAAACAGATGGAAGCAACAGGCAATTCAGTTGACCAATTTTCAACCAAGTTATTATCAGATTTCAGCAAATTTTCCGTTTTACACTTTTATGATACAGCAACAAGAAGGCGGCAGAGAAGTGCAGATAAATTACTACCTATTCATAACTTTTTTTTGAAACTTAGAATCAACATTTACAAGATACCAACATCCCTAAAGCATGCATGACCATAGATGAGTAATTAGTAACTTTTCAGGGATGCTGTCCATTCTGACAGTACATACCATCACAATCAGGAAAATATAAAATCAAGAGTTAAGTAATATTCAATAATGAGATATCCTAAGTTTGGAAAATTCAGATATATATAGGAAAACATAGAGAGCAAAGAAGGGAGTTCAATTAAGGTGAGAGTTGTTATGGACGTGGTCAGAAAAACTGAAAATATACCCAGAAACATCATTTGTGACAATTGTTTTAAGAGCTTGTCAATGGTGTGGCATTTACTTGCCAAATGGTTGACAATTGTGGGGAAAATTAGAAAAAGCAAAGTCAGGCTTCCATCTGAGTTTAAAAACTTGAAAGAAAAACATCCACAACAACTATTTTTAGATTCCAAGCTGACTCAATGTTTGCATCATATTGTCCCAAAAGAGGGAGAACCGCACTCTCAACCAATGACTGACAACAACTCGGACAAAAAGAAAAAAAAGGAAAACAGAGGCCATTTTGTTTTACAACAACACTAAAGGTGGCATGGAAACACTTAACATGATGGAGCAGTGCTACAGTTCCAACAGAATGATTTGAAGATGGCCTATGGTTATCTTCTACAATATAATTGAAGTTAGTGCAGTAAATATTTTTATAATGTGGTGGAAGTTGAACTCCCAACATCTTCAAGAAAAAGTGAATTAGTGCCAACATTTTCTCATTCAACTTGGAAAAAGAGTTTCTGAATTAAAACATCAACAAGACAATCCAGAAAATCCCATCCAACTTGCAAATAATGATGAAGAAACAGCCAGGAAAACTGGATGATGCTCAATTTGTTGATACAAAAAAAACCCACAAAACACATGCTAGTTTTGGAATCAATGTTTGTAATGAACATTGAAAAGTAGCATGCAGACAATGCAAATGAACTTTGAAAAAACTACCACAATTTGTTTCTATGTATCATGCTTTATAAAAATTAGGAAATGTATATTTATTTTAAATATTCACCTTAATTGAAATATATACAATACTATTGTCCCATAATAATAATTTTTATATCTTTTAAACTTTTGTACGTGTTAATATCTGATGTCTTTTTTTTTCGTGGTAATCCTAGGATTAAAGTAAGAAGACCAAGACTGAACACAATACTCCTAATGTGACCTAATCAGTGACCCATATAATGAAATTATAACTTTTTATATAACCAATCCAACAGTTAATTTTATCCTTCTTTCCTACAGAGAATAAGAAATCCTAAGCTGTACCATAAGACAACCCTTCCATCAAGTGAAACTTAACTAGTGATTTTTATATACACTTTTGACTATTAATCAATATGTCTAAAAATACACCCTAAAATTTTATTAGTTTACTACTAGCCATACAGCATTTCTTTGATGGTTTTAAATTATTTTATCCACCATCATGCCAAGACTCTTTCCTTCAGCCATGCTAACGAGTTTATATTAAACATGTACTCCAAATTATAACCCAAATGCACTACTTTGCACTTAATACAATTAAAGGTAATTTGCAAGATATCTGTCCCACTTACCAATTTACCCATCATTACATAATACCTTGACATCCTCAATACATTAAGAAATACTCAGTAATTTAGTTATTAGCAAACTTAACTAATTTATTACTTATGCTCCTACAAATATCAATAATGTAAGAAAAACCAAAGGCCCGATCACTAGCCTCTGACATTACTCCACTAGCAACAAATGTCCAGTTTTACTTGACCCCATTAATAACAACCTTTTGCCTACTTCAATCCAACCACCTTACAATCTAATCAACAAATCTTTCCCCCCAACTCCTATTGAAGTGCTTTTCTTGTCAAATCCTTTATGTGCCACCGCCAGACATGTTGTCTAAAGATTTGTGAAAATCTTA